GCACAGCTCCATGGTGCATCCTCAAAACAAGCTTTGAATCAGTGCATTCCTTTTTCTCCATTGGGTAGCTAGTAATAGGTCACTCTAATCAACTCTTTATTCAACTCGCTATTAGAAATGATGACCTCCCCAGCCTACCCAGCAAAACCCAACTCACCCTCTCATTCCCCTACAGCACTGAGGCATGTTTACAACTGTGAACAAGAAAACAGGGTATGAGCCAGAGAAGAGGATCTAAATACAATATCATAAAGATTCAGGCTGGAAATGAAATAGAATTAGAGCACTCTCGATGTTGATGGGTACTTCTTCACTTTCCATTTGTAGCATGAAAATTGACAATATCATTTAAATAAAATATGTGTTTGCATTTACTTCTGCAAAAATTTCAATTGTTCTCCTCCATCTTTGCAAACTTGGCAAGACTTTAATAGTTTCATTTAAGAGTAACTTATGATTGATAGGTTTTCCTAGTGTTTTAAGGCTCTAATTATACTCCTTTCCTCAAGTCTCCCCTAAAGTACACATAGTGGCCATCAAATAAAGGTGAAAAATCTACTTATATTGATATTTAAAAATTTTCATATTTAATCCCTTTCATTTTAGCTACTATCCATACTATCATTATAGGAACTTGTCTGTTAAAATATGTTCCAACTAAAGCTTGGTAGGCTTTGAATGCTCGATAAAAATCATTCTCTGAGGCTAATGAAGACAGAAACTCTGCCTGTAACAATATTAAGTTTGTTTTCTCTGGTGGTTCAGAGAAGTGAGCAATCTGTCAGTAATACATTGAGTGAAATTACTTGTCTTGTAGGAATAACTGCTGACAGTCACTTTATCTCAGGGCTGACCCAAATATCTCCCTGCTGACAAACAAATTACTATGTCTAACTTTGAAAAGGTAACTAGCTTGTTTTTAATTTTGATTTGTCTTTCAGAATCTCCTGTACATATACTCAATCCCATGCCTCATTGTATTAAAAAAAAAAAACCCACAAAAAGTGTTTGGGGGGGGCAGGTTTGAATTAATGAGAAAGAAAGAAAAAAAAGGAAGGAAAGAAAAACTCTATCATTTGGCACTAAGAAAAAGAACTGCTATTGCTTCTTTCCAAGACTGTTATGCAGATAAAACTGGTAAGTGTGTCTACCCAACATTAAGACTGGCAGTGCCGCCAGTGACTGACTGGGTGAGTGAACACATTACTGAGACAGTATTGTAGGAATTAATTTTCTTCAATAAAGTGATTTTTAAGGCTCATATATTTCACAATCTAAACATATGTCACTGTTTCATAAACAAAATAAATGGATTAAAATAATACATTACCAATATGCTGACATGCGGAGATATTTTAATTAGAAATTCTTAAGCTGTGTGATATTTAACTGCTGTATTTGCTAAAGAGAAGCATGCATCATTTAATAAGAAAGCATGAGACAGGTGTATCACTTTGCATGCTATGGTACCAGATTGTATTTAATATAAGGTGCACCTATGAAGCAACATCACTTCCAATTACAAACAAAACAAAGCAAAACAAAATTACTTTTAAGGGTCTATTATGTTGAAAGTCACCACATAAAATGAATTAATATATTGAAGCTATTTTTCATTTAAAAAAAGAAAGAAGTTACTCAGAGCTTAGTTTCTGAGACAGTATTTCTTCAGAAACAATTTAACATCTTAGCTACTAAAAGGCCATATTTATATGACTGCCTCATTATACTGGTCCCCCTTCCTTAACATTCTTGCTGATGTACTTGAAGGACCAATGCTAACATAGCTGAGGAAAGCAAATGGCAACTGGTCCTGAAATTTATACAGGTAGAGAATTGGAATAAGTAGCAATATAATATATTGTTTACTATAGCAAGTGCCCTCTGTTCTCTAAAGGTCAAAAGCACTGTAATCTTAGAGTTATAGTTTCTGATTGTTCCCAGGGTTAAATACATTATCAAAATTAATGGTTCAAGCCCCTCAACCTTCAGATATATGAGTATTCATGCCTCCATCTGCTGAACTGTTCAACTAAAAATAGCATTCTTTGGCCTTCTCTCTCCTAATATTGTGCCCCTGAGGCAGAGAAAACCATGCCTTAGATCAGCACAGAGTACCAAGGCTTTCCTGTATCTTGCTTATTTTAAAGAAAGAAAGAACTGGAAGATGCTAATGTAAGAAGGGTCTTTGCACTTTAAATACCTTTTTTTTTTCTACTTGATAACAAAATTTCGGCCTTTCAGGGTAGAACTATAAATGCTGTTAAGATTTATCCAGGCTCATTAATGTTAGAAGTCACAACCTTTGAAGAACAAATGAATTGTAACATCAGGTAAGAAGGACTAGTTCTGAGCAATGCAACCAGGTGTATATGAAGGTGGTGAGGCAGGGTGATGGTGGCATGTACATGTTGTGGGCTTTTCTTCCTGAGAATCTCTGTTCAGAAATAAAATCAGTTAACATAATTGTAATGCTTCCTTAGTATCAACAAGCTATCACGATCATGATTGTTAACAGAGCTGTGACACTTTAGCTTGTCAAAGGAAGGAAGAATTAGAAAAGAGAGCAGACTTTAATATCAATAAAGCAAGATATTATTAAATTTTCTCTCTACTTTCTTTTTTTTTTTAAGATTTTATTTATTTATCTGAGAGAGAGAGAATGAGAGATAGAGAGCACAAGAGGGAAGAGGGTCAGAGGGAGAAGCAGACTCCCTGCTGAGCAGGGAGCCCAATGTGGGACTCGATCCTGGGACTCCAGGATCATGACCTGAGCCGAAGGCAGTTGCTAAACCAACTGAGCCACCCAGGCGCCCTCTCTACTTTCGCTTAGGATTTCAAATGTGAGTGTCTGTGGTAGCTCAGACATCTATGTCTACTGTGCTTTCATGGACGTCCCCATAAACATGGGATGCTCATACCAGGAAAGTTTGGGAAACCTGCCTTTCAAACAAGGTCAATCTTTTCTAACCAGTGTACCATATAAGCAAACAGAGCAAAGGTTTCTTGACATGCAAAAAAAAAAAAAAAAAAAGGTGCAAAAAATGAAAGCAAGAAAACAGAGTGAGAATTAACAAAAACCCAGGAAACTTTCAAATAGGCCCAAACTTAAACCACAAAATCTAAGAGTTCCCTCACTAACTGGTTCTCTATTTATCCTGCGAGTGATAGACGTGTGGCATATGCTGTGCTTCTAGATCAGCACCGCTACAGAACTACACAGATCTGGCACGCCCCGAGATGACATCATAGTTTCCAGAAACCCAACAGAAGCCAGATTTGGCAGCATCAGGGATCCATGCCGGTGGCAGGGAGAGAAGTCAACCTAAGTGAAAAAATTAGTCAAAGAAGCGATTGGGTAAAAAACTGCTGATGGAGAAAGGTGGATGGGGTAGATCTCAACACCTCAAGAGAAAATAAAAGAGAGGAAGTCTTGAGTCTGAGCCAAGACCACCTGCTTTCACATTTGTCCAAGCACTTAAACATTTAACAAACTATCTGTCCTGAGCCGAGAAGCTTGCTAACTGGCATCACAAAGGGAGTCTTGTTCCCCATATGCAGTCATTTCTGTTATTTCTACATTTTAGCAATCCTAGGTATGGCAGATCTTCAGAATGTCCAGAAATATGGTACCTTCTCTGCAGCCAAAAGAAAGCCTTATGAAAGAAATCCCTTCTTGCTGTCTAGAAGATACTCTGACAGTATTTGCCTGGTCATGTCTGGGTGGGAAGCCCCCGTATAACTTATATCAAAGTGACAGGGGAAGAGGGAGGCAGGCAGCAAGCTCTGGAACTCTTCCTTAGGCTACTTCCAAGGTGGCTTTTGATCTTGTCCTCTTTTTTCTTCTTATGAGTGAGCTTTCTCTATTATTTTTCAAAAATACAGTTTTAAAAGCAGCAGAAAAGATAAATTAAAGGGATACTCTATTGATTATACAGTATTTGATATGTATAGACTGCCAGAGCCAATAGGATCTGAATATATAGCTTTGCTTGATGTAATTCTTTTCTTTTCTTTTCCTTTTTTTTTTTTGAGTTGAGTTTCCCATCGTAGGTTAGAACATAACATTTAGTATTAGATCTAATCCAGAAAGTTAAAGTGTGTTTCAGTCTGAGGTAGCCTGTCTCCATTTATTTATTTTTTTTTATTTTATTTTATTTATTTATTTATTTATTTATTTATTTTTTGGTGATTCAACAAATAGCTGGCAGCTCTTCAGTAGCTAATAATCCTGGAGAGGGACTCCAGTGATAGGAGAGAGAAATCAAACATGAAATTACAGAGACGAGTTCTAGACCCCTATAGAAGAAAAGGGCTTGGTTTTCAAAAGACCCATAAAGCCATCTTCTCCCAAGTGGTAAGAATATCCCACAAAAACAAAAAAGAGCTTTATTGGAAGTTAAATATGAAAGGGATACTACAGACATTCATGGGGCAAAAAAGCAACCAGTCAGGCCCAGGCACCCGGCCCTCCCTCAGCCAGAGAAAACAAGATTCAGAAACCTGAATCAGACCGTTAGAAATCCTGAGTACTAACTCTTGACTCTGGGAATATTGTGCAGCCTGGGCCTCTCTGAACCGCCACTGTTTCGACTATGTAAGCAGGATTATATTTGATCAACTTTGCAGGGTTGTTATATGGACAAATGAGAGTTTTTAAAAAATGTTTAGGTGTTTATAAACATTGTACAGCACTATACACAAAAAGGAGTAAAAGAGTAAGGGGAAAAGGGATGGTTCTGAAGATACCTGTAAAGAATTTGCCTAAATATATAGCAATAAACAACCTAAGTCATTGGGGGCATTGGTTTGGGGCTTGCCTCCTTCTGTGAAAGAAAAGGAGCAAAAATGAGCCTCCTTAGGAATGAGAAAAAGGGAAAGGTCACATTTTAGTGTTTAGGTCGAGTGTTTGCCACTTTAAGAAAAAAAAAAAAAAGCCTAGACTATGACTGAACAATCCAGTCCCCCACCCAATGAAGCATCAATGGAAGCAGTCATACCTCAATCTGTTTGTGGTTGTAAGAGTGGCCACCACCATGTTCAAAGGTGTCCAAACTCCTGCCAAAACGGTCACTTAGGCCCTTTAGCCTTGGGTTAATTTGTGGGTGGGAGACATGACCCTTCTGTTTAGTAGCATATTCAGAAAAAAAAAAAAAAAAGACAAAACATACTGTCAGAACTCATGAAACAGAACACGTATTTCTAAATCCAGGGTACTGACCACATCAAAGAATAGAAAGTAGAAGGCTGAGGACCCAGACACTGTCTTTCATAGAAACTTGGTTATAGGATCAAGCAATGGTACTGGTTTCATACTTCTGCCTCTGACTGGAGAAGACATTCTAGCATAGCTATATGGGAAAGGAGACACAGATTAGGTTTATCATGAGGGAGGTTTCTTTTTAGATTTTTCCAACTGTGGTGAGTTCCAGCGTTAGCAGTGGGGAAGGTGAAGTTTTGGAAGAGAGGTAGGGCTGTTGCCCCGTTAGGCAAAATGTCTAGCTCTGCTAGGCAATCCATAGTCGGTAACATCGTCCCGGCTTTCCGGTTGAGGCTTATGACAAAAACTCAGAGTACTGCAAAAATTATTTATTTGCAGACCCAAATGAAAAGGATCACAGTGATGTTTTTTCATGGCAAAATATCTGCACATTTCTTATATTCAAGCCATAGAGGGAATAGCAAAGAAGAAAAAAAATGCCTAGCCAGATGCTATTCCCTTGTAAGAAAACTCAAAAATAATCACAGTAAATTATAAGAATAAAAGACTATCTTTATAGTCTTTAGACTTCCCACTGTGTTGAAATTCAAGTTCTTCACTACCACATACTTTATAACTGTTCAAATACTGAAGGTTTTACCATTATTTTAATGATATTATCTTTTTGTTTTTGTTACAATGTATATTCACATTAAAAGTCAATTTCCCCTTAAAATGGCAGTGCTGGGAGGGTATAAAGATCACCTGGCCCTATTGTAAACCCCTCACTTGACTGTGAAGAAGATAAGGTACCGATGATTTTTTTGTCCAGCTTCCAAAACACTTTCTCCCCCAGTTTCGCATTGTAAGTACAGAACCCTAACCCCGAATGTGGTGGGATGCCATGCCCGGACTTTGGGCTTGGCATGAAGCTAAAGATGAGAACGAGGGTACCCATATTCCAGAGCAGTATGTTGACATTTTACCAAACAGTTGAGGTAATCTGGTGATAACAGCCCCTAGTCTATAAGCTGCAAGAAGGAAAATGCCCAACATTGTTCTCTGTTTTGATGTTTATGTGTAAAAGATCATCTGGACATAAATGGAGACGTGGATGGAAAATGGATAAGGAAAAAGCTACCATATCCAATAGCGGCAGCCAGCGATAAAAAACAAACAAACAAACAAACAAAACTGTAAAACCATTAACTCACCTGATAGAAAATATAGAGTTCTAAGCCATACTATCATTTTGCCTTTAAAAATACTGAAATTGGCAGTTTTCTCTTCTATTTTCTGTATGGTAAGTACACAAGGTGTTAATCCTTCTAGGCTATGCTTAAAAATTATTTAACATTCAGGCCATTATTTAGCATACAGCTGGTTAGCAGTTTTCCGCTAAAGAACTGGCTGGTATCCCACATTTTTTTCTTCTGGCACTTACCTGAAGCTGCAAAGGGCTGAGTCCAGAAGTAGCAGCAGCTGCCATTGTTGACGAAATGAACTGCACAGGGTAGTTATCACCTGTTGGAAAGAACAATGCATACAGGTTTAGACAATGCACAGGGAATCGCAGCAGACAAGTACAAACATGGTCCTTGGATTGCCTGAGCTTTACAACATTGCTCTAAGCCCAAACATCTGCAGAAACAAAAGGCTTAGATGGGCATAGACTTGCAGTGCCGCCTTGGAACTTTTTGTTAACAGATAGCTGGTAGGCAAACTGGCAAAACATGAATGTGATGTTAAAAAAATTAAATGTGCAATTCAAGCATGTTCACTCCATTACAAATCTTGTAATACATCATTTTTTTAAGGGTAAAAAAAAAAATACCTTAAAGCCAGGCTGACACTCAGTTCACTGAGAAAGTATTAAGGTTTTTATGTTGAAACAACAAAAAGTTTTGGCTTGGTAGGCAAAGCAGAGTATTAGAGTCCAAAAAAGATTATGAGCTATTGACTGTCCATAACCCTAAACTTTCTTTTATAAAAAATAAAGAAAAAATTTTAAAAATGCAACCTCTTCAATTTGATAGGGGCGAGAAGGAAGCTAATCTTATCTGCCCACATTCTGTGAAATGCCTGGTATCTCCGCGAGAGTGGAAACCACAGTTTTCTGGATTAACTTCTGGTGGAACCGAGTACAGAATCATGCACACGAGGCACTTCTCACTTATTCTTCGATAATGTTTTGATTAAATAGCCACACATTTTACATGGGATATCTGCATTACAAGTCTGGTAGAGATTGAGCATGCCTCAGCAGAGATCAACACCACATCTTCACGTCTGCCTCCGTGCCACTCCTAAACAGGGGAATGGAGAACCTTCTGTGACCTGAGAACACAGGCTGTGTGCGGCGACGTGAAGAACCAGGAGAAAGTCATGAGGAACGTATTGTGATAGTGGTGACTGAAATCAAAATTAATACTCGTGGATAAATTACACAATATCAGTGATTTAATGGAGTATCACTTTGGCTGCAGCTACTTATTTAAAGTCAGTGTTACGTACTATCTCTAGGCTATATTTTAATAGGCTGTTCCTCCACACATTTTTGACATTTATAATAATCATGCTGTTTTGCATGAACTTTTCTACACTGAAAGCTGAATGTAATAATGAAGAGACAGTGTAGAAAGAATCACAGCAATAAAGGTAGCCAAATGGAAAGCAATAAAATCTCTTTTTTTCTCCTGCGCGGACACTAATACCTGGAGCCTTCGTGGTGCCCCCCCGCCCCTTTCCTGGAGCTCATCCTACTTGCCACACCAAGTGCGCCTCAGCGGGCCCAATGTAGATGTTAAGTTGCTTTCACTTTTAACAAATTGTTAGCTTCTAATCGACACAGTCCCTTTGCATCATATCCATAATACCTCATCAGACCATTGAGCACAGTGTGTGCTTGTACACAGTCCAGTAACAATTGGCTTCTGATTGCATATGGAGCACTGCGACAATGCATTCACTAACACTAGATTGTGCTGGTCTCCTATGGAGTAATGTTCAAAATATCTGATCTTGTTTCTCCCCTTCCATGAGGTTGATTTTGGTTTGCAGGGCTACATGAGCTTTTTAAAAAGGATAACTAGGCCAAATTATTTTTTATAGTAAATGACTGTCGCTTTATGCTTAAATAATTCGGCTGATCTTCTTGATATTTAAACTAAATTATCTGAAGAAAGAATATCCTAATCTAAGTCAAATAGTATTTCTTTGGTTGATATCTTATCAGGTTAAAAAAAATCACAAAACGATACTGAATTAATGATGCTTCAAAAATAGGGGAAAAAAATCACCATTCCAACCATCAACATGGACTGCCTCCCGGAACATTTTAGAGCTGTTCTTTCTTTAAATATCATGCATTATTCATGCTAACTCTAAACCACAACCCCCCTCCCTGTAAGTTTAATACCAGTTGCTTTATTTGTACTAAAACATTTTTCATGTCAAACATATTTAAAAAAATCAAACTCTAAAAGAATTCCCTGGGGCACTCCTTTATTCATAGCTGTCATGCTTCTATGCTATGAAATAGCTGTTGTTGTTTTTTTTTATAGTTTATGGCTTGCCAGTTAATTTATTACTATCTCTACCACACCCTGTAGTACTCTCCAGCTCACCTGCTGGCTACAAACAGCTTTCTTTCCACTGCTGACAAGCATATTTTTAAAATGTTCTTAACCTTTCTGCTGGTTTGAATCTGTGTATCTGAATACAATCTTTCGAAAGCTATTTCTCCAGAACATATCACTGAATCAATGCTAAAAGTAAAAATGAATACATTAGAGCAACAGCGTGTATTACAGAGAATGATTAGAAGACAGAGAAAAGGGAAAAGCAGAAGAGGGAGAAGAGTGAAGAAGAGAACGGGGTTAAAAGTAGCAGAGAAAAGTGTTAAGAGGAAGACGGATTTAGGGTATTGCAAAGTTTAATTTTTTAATAACAAAGTTATGTGCTTCACCCCCACCCCTTCAATTTTCTCTTTGTAAGAGTCGGTCAAGTAAAAGTTCTCAGTGGCTGACTTGGCAAGAAATCAGTCAACATGTTGTAGCAATTTTTTTCAAATTTGTCTCTGGATTTGAAATGCTTGCGTGAGGATCCATTCTTTCTAAATTTGTACAAAGGAAGATGAAGCCTGTTGGAACAGGTTGGCTTTAGGCACTACTGTAATCTGGCCCTTGCTACTTCTAGTGTAAAAAGACAACCTCCAAAAGCCAATTTGGGAAATAATGCCCCTTCTGTAAATTCATCTTTCCAGCCTTCTAGATTTTCCAACTGACTATTTTTAACTGAATATTACAGAACAAATACAAAACAGGATTTAAAACCTATGGAAAATTTGCCTGACATTAGTTTCACTTATCACAATAGGCAACATTCCTTTGGAACCAAAACAGCTCCACAGCAAGAGTCTCTGAAGAGAGAAAGTTCCTTTTTTTAATTTTCAAGGAAAGTGAAAAGTAGTCAGAACTTATTAAAACTTAAACACAGGAGAAGGGGGAACTTGTACTAAAAACCTAGGACCCATTAGACTCAGGCTACCTCCTGCCAGAATACTCCTAGCTTCTGTAATTAAATATAAATTTCATTTTTATTAAAAAGTCAAAAATCTCATAGGTAAAATTCTGTCCATTTACTTTGATTCTTCAGAAAGACAAGGGACTGGACTGTAGTCTCCTGGGATATTAACTTCAGAATTAACCTACTGAGGAAATCATTTAGAGAGGCTGGCAAGAGTAGAGAAATAAAAATGTATTAACCTAGGAGACAGGATTCAATGACTTTTCAGTAACTGGTTCAAAATCTCATACTTCATTTTCCACCCTCTAAAATGGAATCAAAATACACTACATATCCTGAACTATCTCACAGATTATTGTGTGGTGGCATCACAGGATAATGGTAAATTATCTGAGTTGCCAAACAACTTATAGGTAGACCCCACTTTTATAAGCTATCCTCACTCTTGCTACAATATGGAAATATTTCAATCACAACCACCAGTACAGACTTGGACATATCATTTTGCTTCTTGCTTGGATGTCTGCATTGAGAATAGCAAAATGTTACAACATCTCTATATTCTGAAACAATGCCACAATCAATCTGACTTTATCTCTGTGAGGCATCACACTGCAGAAAAAGTTAGCAGGTAATGAATGACACACTTAGGATCCTAAAAATAAAATGCAACCTTCAATTTACTCTGAGAACAATCGAACAAAAAAAAATTGGCAAGGATTAAAGTATATATTGCTGAGATCACCATGCTGTTATTTCTCTTGCTAAATTTCTCCTCTGTTCATCCAAGAATAGATCAATGATGAGAAAACTCTTGATCCCAGGGCATTTTCTAAGAACATATGCATTGTTTTTCATACCTTTAAAGAAGATAAGAATCAAGGATCAATCTTAATTTCTTCACTTATTTCATAAGACTGTTGGTCAATCATATGAAAATCCATGGTATTTGTCACAATAGCAATTAAATAAGTGAATGTGGATAAACTGATATAAATCCATCCATTACGGGACACCTGGGTGGTGAAGTCAGTTAAATGCCCAATTCCTGGTTTCCGCTCAGGTCATGATCTCAGGGTCATGAGATAGAGCCCCATGTTAGGCTCCATGCTCAGTGTGGGGTCTGCTTGGGATTATCTTTCCCCTTCTCTCTGCCCCTCCCACTCAAGTTCTTTCTTTCTCTCTGTCAAATGAATAAATAAATCTTATTAAAAAATAAATAAATCCATCCATTACAAGAAATCAAAAAATATCAACTCAAAGTCCATGCCTTAATATAGCTCACCAATGATATAGCTTCCGTATGTGATGAAGGGCATAGTTAAAGTAATCTTGATCTCCAGAAAACTAGGTTAGTTTATGTGGATGTGCATATTTTCTTCTTGGACCTCAAAACTCTTATTTAAAAATGAAATTACTAATCTAAAGAACCTCAGAAAAACTGCCTTGATTTCAAGTACATAAATTTAATTTTTCAAGTATTCCAGTAATAGTGGTTATAAACCTCAGCTTTACATATTCTGGAAGAGGTAGAAATAGCAGGCATTACAAGATGAATCCATCTTGGATGAATCCATACATATAAATCACATATTTTCCACAGCAAATAAAGAGCTAGAATTTTCTTAATATCATACACACTTAAACCATGTCAGCAAGGGTATAAAATATCAAATCAGAGAACTTCAGTCTGAATTCTATCTCCACTAGTTTCTAGATGGGAAAGCTTGGAAAATTTAATCAACTTATTTGACTATTCATATCTTTTTTCTTTTAACAAAATAGATATAATGCCACCTATATCTTAGAGTTGTAAAGAAAATTAAATAAGAATATATATATACACACATATATATATTTATATATACATATACACACATATGTACACCCCCAACATATATATGCAAATAAACGGTACTCAGTAAATGCTAATGAAACAAAGGAAGCACTGGATAACAGTTTTATACCAAAAAATTACACAATCTAGAAGAAATGGA